GATCAAGAAAGCTAGATCTTTGTGTGCATAATGAATTTCCTTTTTGTTTCATGATTTACATTTATGATTAATTATTATTTTTATATGCACACAGTAATTTTATATGCTTTGACAAGAACTTTTAAGTGGCTCAAATTATCTGTAGAATTAATCTATTTTACAAAGGAACATAATAGCACATGTACCTCTAATTTTAATATGCCATGTCCAATTATTCCATCTACGGTGAAAGAAACCAAGATACCAGAAGACGATCCGTCGACATATAGACTTCGGAATCTTCCATTTAGACATCAAGAGTGGTGCTATCTCTTCTTCCTAGGAGCTCCTAAAAGGCATGCTCGTGGTTGTGACTAATGTCCATACTATTTATCTCAAGGCTACACTGGTGCACAAGACGGAAAGCGAACTTTGAGGTTTCAATGTCTCATTTGAAAAACATTGCAATAGAGTTCAGGCATTCTCCCCAACCCGCACACATACACCATCATCATCAATGACCTAGGAAGCACCATCCCAATGGCGCCAAGAATTATTCTATGGGGCACCATCAAACGCACCCCATAGCTTCCGCTGCATAAATAGCATTGCCGACGGCGGCACCTGGCAGGGGGGCAGAAGGGCTATTTTGGGACCATTACACTGTTGTACCTCGACAACGGTGATGGTGAGGTAGACATCCAGTACAAGTGGTACAACCTCACCTTCTACCTCGATAAAGATGGGTCTAGCACCAATTTTACCATGCAATGGTATGGGATTCATTATCACCTTAGCTCACGGATATCATACTCACCCGCATCAAGCCCACAAAGAATGCAAGGAAAAAGATGGTGAAGGTACTGGTCACGACCGCCGTTGTCTGGGGCCATCATGGTGAAAGTGGATGGCTGGGATTCATGACGGGTCTGAGGCCGATCCCAAGCAAGATCTTAATCAATTGTGAATGTGATGCCATTGTCGATGAAAACGACGCAGGGCATGAAGGGTGTCAGCCGCGACACAGTGAGGAAGTAAAAATATACCTAATCATGTCATGTTTTCTTCCTCCCCGCTTACCGCCTCCTTCCCGCTTCCTCTTGCTCCTCCTTGCTTGGATTCCGCGCTCGTCTACTAGTAACGCCACCGAATTGTTAATCTGGCTTGGGCCCTCGTGGAATTGGGAAGGGGGAAGGCTCTGGTTTAGTTCCGTCTTGGAGAAAACAGGTAGCTCACGCCTTTGGTTCGATGATGAATTAGATCCCAGTCTCGCCCAATCATCCAGCGAAAAAATATGGAATCCAATAACTCCCGAACGAGGTTCGGATTTTGAGCATTTCGTCCCGAACGTTTTTACATGGCAACTTTAGTTCATAGGGGATGGCAACTTTAGTTGACAGGGGATGACAACTTCGTCCTTTTTCGTTTTTTTGTCAGAAAATTGCCATGTTTTCCTAATCTCACGCAAACTAAACTTACCATCTAAACCCGTTTAGGTTGCCATGCTTAACTCCCGAATGTTCGGGAGTTATCATTACCGAAAAATATATCCCTGTTCAACTGTATATTTGGGAGGAATCGTTGCTAGTGCTTAACTCCGGTAGATTTGGATGCATCGTGTGTTAAGCCAGATGTCTGATTTGTAGTATTGAACCTGTGAGCTGCTTGGGCACAGGTATAAGATGGCGAGCGAGCTGACTGTGATGGCACTCCTGCAATGTTCTACACACAATTAGTTTGTGAGTTTGGGATGTCACTTGATGCCAGTTAAGACATCTCCCACTAGGATATCAAAACAGTGAATACTCATACACAGGCTTGCTCTTGTTCGATTTAAAGCACGCATTCCACATATTCTTCCTCTCTAGTGAAGCTGATTGAGGTTAATTTGAGATGACTGCAGAACATAGCATGCACAATCACTGTCGATTGGTACCAAATTTAGACATGAAAAACATTGTTATAAAACAGGCCCACCTAGACCACATAAGCGATGGGGGACTCCTTCACGTCTCGCCTGCCTATGCAGCCACATAGCCTGATGGTGTCAACCAGGTTGCACCCACCCTGCCGCTTGCCTAGCACCTAGCCATTCCCATAAAACTTTGAATTTACTTGAGTTCACTCTCAAATTAAAGAATGCTCCAGTACACTCTTAGATTAGTTTACAGAGGTAGTATGTTTTATGCCATGGCCCTCAACTTCTGTGGGGATTGATAGTACAAAATCACTTTCTATGTTGCAACTTTACATGAAAAAATTTAGCTGTAAAATTTACGAAACCAAAGTATTCTTTTAGGCTATAAAAAGAGTGAAGGATGAAAATCGGTGCATATGGAAAGAGAGAACTTCAAAAAAAAATTCTCTATCAAGTCTCTTGTGGCAGCTTATGCATTCAGAGCAGAATGTTTCCTGTTCTTCAGAAACTGAAGTGATTTTTTTCTTAATGTTAATGTACTGGAATTTTCGCAGGAGGTTGCAAAGACATTCCGCGTAGAGGCGATGCCGACCTTTGTACTGGTGAAGGGCGGGCAGGAGGTGAGTCGCGTGGTCGGGGCTAAGAAGGATGAGCTTGACAGGAAGATCAAGACGTTCATCTCATCGTCCTGATCCTAGCTTAATTAACCTGCACTCCAATTGCAGTGCCAGGTTCTGTCTTCTCCCAGTGGCAAAGGGGCTCCTATGGTTTCCCCATGGTGTTGTAGCACCAATCCTCCTAAAATGCTGCAAATCCGACGTAAAGTGGTAATAAAGGTTCTGAAACTTGGATCGTGTAAATGTGTAACTCTGGCCTGTCTGATCGTTACCTGTCACCTTTTGGCAATCAAGTTACCGAGGTACTCCCTCCGTCCGGAAATACTTGTCATCAAAATGAATAAAAGGGGATGTATCTAGATGTATTTTAGTTCTAGATACATCCCTTTTTGTCCATTTTGATGACAAGTATTTTCGGACGGAGGAAGTATAAAGTTTGTTACTTGTCAAGCGTGTTTTATCCTGATTCTTTTTGTTTTGTTACTACTAAAAGGCCAACCTGTTTCGCTTTGCTATCAAGTGACCGGCCGCAGTGCAGTTGATATACTAGTAGTCGTCGGCATTGGGACATGGATTCCTCGAGAGAAGCTAGCATAGGTGTAGTAGTTAGCTGAATGTGTTCTGCTTGCAGACTTCATTCAGCAAGACAGTAGTAACAACAGCCAAGAAACTCACTAGAACTTGGCCAACAATGTGCTGCAGATATCATTGCAGTGTCCAGGCGTCGATGAACGTATAGGAATGGATTTCAGGAACTGCATGGTTTACCGTTTACTTTGACCAAGGTTCTTGTAAGAAGTCATATAGAACAATCATGCATGGACCAATGACCTCTCTCAGATTGCCAAAAGATCTTCATTGAATAGGTGGGAGTCAATATGGGCATCCAGGTCCCGCTATTGATTATTGACGGAAGAGGAGTCTCGGTCATGTCTGCATGTTCTCGAACCCGTAGGGTCACACACTTAACGTTAGGTAGCGCTAGGGTAGTATTGAGATATTCATATGGTGAAGTCCGAAAGTAGTTTGGAGTCCCAGATGGGATCCGGGACATCACGAGGAGCTCCGTAATGGTTAAAGATTTATATATGGGAAGTCAGATTCAGGGTTCCGGAAAATGTTAGGTTTTTTGGGTATTGTACCGGGAAGGTTCTAGAAGGTTCCAGAGTGGGGCCCACATGGACGTGGGTAGTGGGGTAAGGTCCCATACCCCTAGTCTAGGTGCACCAATATCCTCCCCTAAAATGAATAGGATCGTATCTTGAAAGGGATAAGATCGAGATCCCTAAAAAGGGGATAGCAATCGGTGAGGAAGAAAAGGAGGGATTTCTTTCCTTCCCCCTTGGCCAACGACCCTAGGGGCTTGGAGGGCAATCTACTAGCCTCCTCCACGCCTATATAAAGGTGGGGAGGTGTTGGGGGCAGCCACCCTTCCACACTTGTCCGTCTCCCTCCCGTCAAACCGCCCCCACCTCGTGCAGACGCTTGACGAAGCCCTGTTGCAGTTTTGCCGCTGCCACCACCACCAGACCGCCGTGTTTGTTCAGATCTTATTTACCTCTTCTCCCTCACTTGCTGGGTCAAGAAGGAGAGGACGCCATCGAGCCAAACGTGTGCTAATCTCGGAGGTGCCCGCACGTGCGGTGCTTCGATCGGATTGGACTATGACTACATCAACCACGATCTTTAGATCGTTAACGCTTCGGTCTAGAAGGGTACGTAGGCACACACTCCCCACTCGTTGCAAGCATCTCCATAGATAGATCTTTGGGTGTTTCGTAGGAAAAATAATAATTTGTTTTCCACGCAACATACCCCAATCCTCCATACCGTGCCTGAGAAGTCAGCACACGCCACAATAGTAGCCAATCTTCTCGTATTTTGTAAACCTTTTCTTTCAGGTCTGTGAACTTTTCTCATTTTTGCAAGCATTTTTTCAACATTGTGAACTTTTTCCCAAATTTCACGATTTTTTTTAAAAAATTATTATTATTTTTTTAAAAAAGTTGTGAACATTTTCCTCAAATTCGTGTATATTTATAAATTTCGTGAACTTTTTCCCAGATTTCATGAACATTTTTTCGAATTCATGAACTTTTTTGAACTCGTGGACTTTTCCCAAATTGATGAACATTTTTTGAATTTTCAGGATTTGTTTTCTTAGTAAATTTTTTTTTTGAAATTTTCAGATTGAACCGCTACAGCGACTGAATTGGTGGTATCGGTACAGCAATGTGTAAATGGGCCGGCCTGATCGGAGATGCTCTGTGTGCCGGCTTCTTCTCTCGTGCAACTAGTTTGGTGGCCCAATGAGCTTATTTTTTCGAGGGAACGGTGGCCCAATGAGCTGGCCCTGCCAGTGGTAGTATAACTTGGTCTGTCGCCTCTTTCCCGTCCATCGGTTCCCCAACCAAAGCAAAAAACCTAGGGTTTGTGTTAGGGCGGCGGCGGCGGCGGCGGCGGCTTTATTCCCGATCCCGATCACCATGCCCGTCGAAGCCGCGTCAAGCTCGGATGAGGAGGAGGAGGAGGAGATGGCCGCCCTCTCCGATTGGGAGATGGCGGCGGAGGAGGGGACCGATTTCTTCACCGATTGGGCGATGGAGGGGACCGCCGTCTTCCCCGATTGGGCGATGCTGGATCGCATCGGCCGCACCCGCTGCCACAAGGACCTAGACGCTGCTCGTCGGGTTGTCAACAAGAACAAGACCGCCGCTCAACTCCGCATTGACCACGGCCGCTCCTGCTACGTGTCCTTCACCCTCGCGGCTCCTCCAAAAGGGGTCTCCTACCTCAACCTCCACTGGCCGATGCGAGAATGCTCCGACACCAAGCCCCCCGCCTATCCCTTCGTCCGGGCAACCGACAAGGACCTCGTCCTCTTCGACATCGACATCCTGAGCCGGATTTGCGCCCCGTCAGATCTGTTCGTCTACACGGCCGCCGGTCCTTCCCCCTCGGTGCAGTTGCTCCCCCGGTACACCGAGGACAGGAGGAGGAAAAGGCGGTTGTTCCTGATGGATAAATTCTCCACAGGCATCCTGCGGCTCTCGGAGAAGCGCTACATCGTTGCCGACCTCAGTGTCCTGGATGGTGCACTCTTCGTCTTCGACTCCTCCCAGACTGAAGAGTGGACAATCATCCCCATTATGCCTGGCCTGATACGTTGGCACGCACCCAAGCAGAAGCAGAGCAGTGGCAAGCTCCCCAAGCTCTGGTCAACTGACGATGTGCTCGCTCTCGACGACCGTTTCCTGTGCTGGGTTGACTACTTCAGCGGTGTCCTGCTATCTGACTTCTCTTCCACTAGAGGTTCCCCGCCCCTCCACTTCGTACCTTTCCCTGGAGAAAAAGAATACCCTGAAGAGCTACGGGTCTCAAGGCACTTCCCTGGGAGGTTCCGAAGTGTGTCCATTAGCCAAGGCAAGATGCGCTTTGTCCACATTGACAATGACTTCCATGAGACAATCCACGATGATGATGACTCGCCATGGCATCAGCTTCCTCGCATAACAAGCCAAGGGCAGCAGCATAAGGGTCCCCAAAAAATCACCATTTGGACTTTGAACTCCGACAAATTCAGTTGGGAGCAACATGCCATGATCAACCTGGATGGTCTATGGGCGCAACGTTGTTACAAAGCTCTGGACATACAGCAGCGTCTTCCCGAGTTCCCAGTCGTCAGTGTGGATGACCCGGATGTTCTATGCTGCCTGTTAAGGGAGAAGGAATTTGGTGGCAAGGGGTGGATGAGCGTGATTGACATGAAGCTTGCGAAACTGCAGGCATGTACTCAATATATCAATCGACGGTCCTACTGTGCTGAGTGCAAGGATGCGGGCTGTGCTGAGTGTGTGGATGACAAAAACGATTTCCCTAATATGCCCCTACTTCCAACTGTCTTCTCCTCCAAACACCTTGAAAGGCCAACTGGTAACTACTAGCTATAAGAAGCTCACTTATAGTATTCAAATTATGTCTTTTACGTACCGTTCTTGCATACAGTATTACATAACATGGTCGCCTTTGCTTAGCTTTCTGTTGGATATGGTAGTGTAACACTGGTCTTTTTGCTTATTTATTATATATATTTTACCTGTGAATCTATGACGCAACTCACCTGCTGCCTGGTTTGGTGTACGAGTCTCAGCAACTCTCTGCATGCCGACTTTCTAGACCCGCACCACTCTACTTATCAGGGTTGTGTGCCCGATGTTATTCCTGTCTCAGGTTTTTCAGTTTCCTGCCTTCATCACGGACCTCTAGTGTGCCTGTGTTAATAGTAATATGTTAATTTATTACCCCTCGGCAAAAAATAGTAACATGTTAATTAATTGAAGCATTTACAATATTGTTACCATGAACCTTCTGTTGGGCTGTTCAAGCGTTTCAGTTTTAGACGCTCCAGTTGTGTAGGTGCACTACACTGTATATCAATAATAGCTCTGGTCCTTCTGTCATCAAGTTGTCCTTGTGTAGGTGCACTCCATCTCCTTGTTGGATCTTTTGCTCTTTTGGGGACGGTCCATTTTATCTGTACACGTGTAGTTCTTGATTCATCAGGCAGCCTTCTGTTGCTACTACTATGGTGCGCTATCTTGAAGCGGATTCTAGGAACCACACTATTTTGATTGCTCTGGTGAAGGATAGAACTATATTGTCCTCTATTTTCTAGTATGTCGGAGCAAATGCCTTGTACCTTTAGAAGATGATATACGATGCTTTTAACACATATTTTTCTGTTGACAAAAGTTTTAGAATGTGTTTTGTTTGGGTTACTTTGGGTCAACCAGGCCACATCTTTGGCTGTCCCTGTTGTAATCCTTTTGATTCTGATATTGTGTACCTTTTATACCCGTGTGTAACTGGATACTCGGCCAAGGAAAAGCCGTTCTCCCTGCATGGAAATGTCATTAGGTAAAACTCCCGTAGCATTAGCCTCGCTGCCCTTCTCATGTTACTTTCTTTGGCTTTATTCAGGCGACGGGCCTTCCGACTGTCTTCTACATCCTGTCATGCATAATCCGACGTCCTTTGCACGTGGACTGTTGTCGGGACTCCATGTATCTTGAGTTTACTGCTTTCTTGCTGCCTTCAGCCTTTTCCCACCTGAATACAGCACCCATGTGCCGGCCTTGTCTGCAGCACAGTCGCCACCAATTCCTTGCGTGTCAGCTGTAGTCCTTCCAGCTGATTGACAAAGGCGATACCTGCTCATTGAGGCCACAAAAGTCACATCATGGCTAGTGTGGTGTTCTCAGACAACGCTTTGATGACGAGTTAGCTGAGAGCTAATGGAAAACAGATATGGAGTCATGACGATCTGAAACCTAATCAAGGATATGATGGCATTACGTTTGCATTAATATTGACGGCGAAGCAGTTTTCTTTATCAATATACTCCACTGCAATGCCATTTCTCTTGTTTGTCTATTCCTTCTTTTTGAACAATTATTGTGTACATCTTTTTTATGAAGTTGCAATTCATCTCATCTTCCCATACTGCTTGCGAGATGTTCAGATGGTGTATGTATCTGAGTTAATTTTTATTTCTATTTTCAAAGGGGTGGCATTGGACAACGACAAGGTTGCAACTCGTCTTTCAAGTAAGTCTGCAAGGTTTGTTCCAAAGAGGCGTAAGTGTGCAGCGTAAAGACATGGAATCTGGTGACATGGTGTTGATCACTTTGGCGTCGCTCCTATCGAAGATGATGTTTGTGTTAATGCCTTAATGGTGCACTGCAGGCAGAACCAAGTTAATAGGGCAAAATCCATATATGTGATGAAGATGATGTACTGATGAATACCTATATCTATTAGAGTAGACTATGCATGTTTCTGGATCATCTAATCATGATGTACTGATGAATA